CCCGGACTCCTGGGTTCCATGCCGGCTCTGGGGAAGCGGGGCCCGGCCTCACCTCGTGCGGCCCGTACACCACGGCCAGCGCCTTGGTGTTGCCCTGCTCGATGTAGGCGGAGCCGTCGGCCTGGGCGAAGACCCCCATGCGCGCGCGCACCTTGCGCAGCTCCCCGGCCCGGCGCCCGTCCACGCGGTAACCCTCGTCCGAGAGCAGCTCCAAGCCCGCCATGGCGCGGCCCCGGCATGCACCGCGCCAGGGCCACTGCCCCCCCACTCCCGGCGTGCCCTGCGCGGGGACCTCATATCCCGGCATGCACCGCGCCAAGACCACTGCCCCCGCTCCCGGCGTGCTCCGCGCGGGGATTTCATATCCCGGCATGCACCGCGCCAAGACCACCGCCCCCGCTCCCGGCGTGCCCCGCGCGGGGATTTCATATCCCGGCATGCACCGCGCCAGGGCCACTGCCCCCCGCTCCCGGCGTGCCCTGCGCGGGGACGTCATATCCCGGCATGCACCGCGCCAGGGCCACTGCCCCCCGCTCCCGGCGTGCCCTGCGCGGGGACCTCATATTCCGGCATGCACCGCGCCAGGGCCACTGGCCCCTCCGCTCCCGGCGTGCCCCGCGCGGGGATTTCATATCCCGGCATGCAGCGCACGGGGCCTGTACATCCCAGCATGCCGTGCGCTAGTCCCGTCACCGCCGAGTCTCCTGGGTGTCTCGAGCGCGCGGGGCGGGGCCGTTCCTGCCGCCGGTGTCCGGAGAGCCCCGCCCCCCCCCCGTTACCCCGGGACCCCCCCCGGACCCACCGGCGCGGTGCCTGGCCCCAGCTTCGGGACGTGCTTGGGCGAGCCCGCCAGTGGGCCTGAGCCCCGAGGGGTCCCGCCCGGCCACGCCCCTTGGCCTGGGCCCGCAGCCCCTCGCCCCGCTGAGCCACAGCCCCGGGCGGCTCGTCCCCCGCAGGGCCCCGTGCCGCGCCGCGGTGTCCCCGGGAGCCTCGGCGCTGGCTGGCCCAGGCGAGCCTGGCTGGGCTTGTGCCACCTCCCTTCATACCTCATCCGCCGCAGCCCCAGCGCCCCGGGACTGCACCGCGCCGACTGTCCCCTTTGGCCAGATCCGTCTAAACTCCCCAGCTGGCCTGTAAACCTCGCACGGACCTGTCAGCGGATAGGCCACAGAGCAGTCTAAACAAGCCGTCCTGTGCCATTGGAGCGTGTCCTGCCCTCGCTGGTGCTGTCTGTGGAGCCAGCTGTAAAACTAGGCAAATATCTCGATGAGCTGATGTCCCCCCTGGAAGCCCTCTGGGTACCCCCAGGTTACACGTACCCCTGGTTGAGAACCACTGGTATAGAGGGTTGGAGGTTAAAGCATCATCCACTTTGGTTAGCCCAAAGCACAGCCAAGCGGTAGTGAGCCCTATTGTTCGAGCTCTGTCTGACCTCCTCTGTAAGACTCCAGGTAAGAGCCCCCACGGCCTCCAGTAACCCACGCTTACCCCCCACCCCCAGGCCTTGGATCTTGATCTGGGGGAATTGTTGTTTAGCTTCCCAAAGGAGAGGCGGGGAAATTGATATCTCTCTGGTTGCTAGGGGCTAGTGTCTTGGCAATTGGATTTACTGTTGCCTTTTCAGTTCCATTGATATGGGGACCAGGCCCAGACAGCAAGGGGACACCCACACCTGTCTCTTCGTCTGCCTGGAGAGCAAACAGCCCTTTTCCACCCCCAAGTGACAATGCAGCACATGGGGAAACTGAGGCACACACGGGGCAACCGAAGCACACATAGGCTTCATAAAAATATTGCAAAATATTCTCCCCTTCAACCGTCACCTCTCTTCCTCCTGCAAGACCAGACTGAGCAGGGTCGCTGTAACACGTGACCTGGGGAAGTTCAGGGATCTCTGTGACAAGGCATCAGCCATAACGGGTCGGCAACCTATGGCATGCGTGCCAAAGACGGCACGCGTGCCGATTTTTAATGGCACGCTGCTGCCTGCTGGGACTCCAGCGTGCCATTAAAAATCCTGCCCAGCTGGCCCGCTTTCCTCTGCCCTCCGCTCCCCCCGCGGGGGCCGGGAGCAGAAGCATAGGCGAGTGCACGGGGTGGGCAAATAGCCCCACTCTCCCGGCGCGGCAAGCCGTGGGGTCCGTGCTTCCGGGCCGGAGCACCCGGCCAAGCGCAGCAAGCCGCCGGCCCCTCCCCCGCCTTCCCTCCTCCCCTGGAGCCATGCTACCGTGTGCAGGGCTCTGGGGGCCGGGGCTGCATGCCCCCGTGGGGCAGTGTTTGGCTCTGCGGGGAGGTAGACACGCTCCCCGCTCAACCGGAGCCATGCCGCATATCTGGCTCTGCTTGGAGCCTCATGGTAAGGGGGCCGGGACCGGGGGGGTTGGATAAGGGGTGGGGGCAGTCAGGGGACGGAGCAGGGTGGGTTGGATAGGGGGTGGGATCCCGGGCGGGGTGGTTGGGGCGGGGGGGGGTCTCTGGAGGGGGCAGTCAGGGAGCAGGGGGGGTTAGATGGGGCATGGGAGTCCCGGGGTCTGTTAGGGGGTGGGGGGAGGATGGGGTCAGGGCAGGGAGCAAGGAGGGTCCTGGGGGGGCAGTTAGGGTGGGGGGTCTCTGGAGGGGGTGGTCAGGGGACAAGAAGCGGGGGGGTTGTATGGGTCTGGAGTTTTGGGGGTCCTGTCAGGGGGTGGGGAGCAGTTGGATAGACATGGGAGTCCCAGGGATCTGTCTGGGGGCGGGGGTGTGGATAAGGGTCGGGGCAATCAGGGGACAGGTAGGGGGTAGGGTCCTAGGGGGGCAGTCAGGGGACAAGGAGCAGGGAGGCTTAGATAGGGGGGGGTCCTGGGGAGCAGTTAGGGGCAGGGGTCCCAGGAGGGGGTAGTCAGGGGACAAGGAGCGGGGGGGGGTTGGAGGTTCTGAGGGGGGGAGTCATCCAGCCCTCTGTCCTGAGCCCTGTACCTCCCTCCCACACACACCCAGCCCTCTGCTTGACTCCTTCACCCCCCCCCACGACCCCAGCCCTGACTCTGGCACCCCCATACATACCCAGCCCCCCCTCTGCCCTGACACCTGCACCCCCTCACATGCCCCCAGCCCTCTGCTGTGACTCTTGCACCCCCCCACATCCCCACCCCCCCCCACACCCCATGCACCCCCCACATCCCCACCCCCACCCTGAGCACCAAACGGGAGCTCCTGCACACACACACACCCCACATTCCCACCTGCACCCCTCGCATCAAATGGGAGCTGCCCAGGTAAGTGCCCCACACCCAAACCTCCTGCCCCAACCCTGAGCCCCCTCCCTCATTCTAGCTCCTGGCCAGACCCTTCACCCCCAGCCCTGTGTTCAGTGCACTCCCACCCTCAGCTCAGTGCAGAGAGAGGGAGAGAATGGGCCAGAACCAGGGAGAAGGTAGGTACCCACTGTATGTGGGCAGGGCCGGGACCCCAGACTGGCAGTGGGCTGAGTGGATCCAGCAGCTGGGATCCCGGCTGGCAGGAGCCGGCGGATGGAACCCCTGAGCGGCAGTGGGCTGAGCCGCTCAGCCCACTGCTGGTCTGGGGTCCCAGCCGCCGGCCCCACACAGCCCGCTGCTGGTCTGGGGTTCTGGCTGCCGGACCCTTGCCAGCCGGGGTCCCGGCTGCAGGCCCTGCTCAGCCCGCTACCAGCCTGGGGTTCTGGCTGCCGGCCCCTTGCCAGCTGGGGTCCCAGCCGCCAGCCCTGCTCAGCCCGCTGCCGGCCTAGGTGAACAGAACACCAGCGGGCTGAGCGGGCTGAGCGGGCTGGCGGCGTAAGATCAACATTTTAATTTAATTTTAAATGAAGCTTCTTAAACATTTTGAAAACCTTGTTTATTTTACAATACAACACTAGTTTATTTATATAATATATAGACTTATAGAGAGAGACCTTCTAAAAAACATTAAAATGTATTACTGGCATGCGAAACCTTAAATTGGAGTGAATAAATGAAGACTCGGCACACCACTTCTGAAAGGTTGCCGACCCCTGAGCTATAACATTTGCACTCCCCTTAACATGGACCACTTGCATATCATAATCTTGGAAGGTGTAACAATGCTGGTTCTGTCGGGACCCAACTGAGAGTGCCAATTCAGGACAAATTGCTTAAAACAGGGCAGTTACAGCCCAAGGCTGGGGTTTTTCCACCTCTAAGGCAAACCAAACCAGCCAGCCAAAGAGGACTTTGGTCTCACCCCACTGGCTAACCACAAGTCACACAAGCAATTCCCTTAGACACTCCAGTTTCCCAGTATCACCACCAGTGCCACTCGTTATGGGGACAAATGGTTATGAAAACCAATACCCCAGTAAAAGAAAAAAAAGGTTCTCTCGATCCCGAAGGATCAAGCCCCAGACCCAGGTCAATATACAAATCGGATCTTACCCACAAATCACGCTGTTGCCAATCCTTTAGAATCTAAAATCTAAAGGTTTATTCATAAAAGGAAAAAGATAGAGATGAGAGCTAGAATTGGTTAAATGGAATCAATTCCATACAGTAATGGCAAAGTTCTTGGTTCAGGCTTGTAGCAGTGATGAAATAAACTGCAGGTTCAAATCAAGTCTCTGGAACATCCCCAGCTGGGATGGGTCCTCAGTCCTTTGTGTAGAGCTTCCATTCCCGGCAAAGTCCCTCTAGAGGTAAGAAGACAAGATGGAGGGGAGGCATCAGCCTTTTATAGTCTTTTCCAGGTGTAAGAACACCTCTTTGTCCTTACTGTGGAAAATTACAGCAAAATGGAGTCTGGAGTCACATGGGCAAGTTCCTGCATACTTTGCTGAGTTACAAGGTGTATCTGCCTTCTCTCAATGGGTCAGTTGTGTAGCTGATGTTCCTTAATGGGCCATCAAGCAGGCTAGGCAGAGCTAACACCAACTTGTCTGGGATGTCTCCCAGAAGCATAGCATAAGTTTGCAATACAGACAGTATAGAGCCAATATTCATAACTTCAACTACAAAATTGATACACACATATAGACAGCATAACCATAACCAGCCAACCATAACCTTGTCTTAGACACCTCATTTGACCCCCTTTATACAAGATTTGGTGCCACTACAGGACTTTGGTTGCAACCATGTACTATGTGGTCCCAGTTCAAATCAATAATGTGACAGGCATCAAGTCTGTTTCTATATTTCGTTTTCAGATGTGCATAGGAGGAAAACACTTTCTTGCATAAGTTTGTTGTTGAAAATGGTAACAAAACTGTAGTAGCTTTTTCTGCCAG